AAAGTTTGTTCAGCATATTTCTCGCGTACTCAACAAAAATCAAAATAAATAACTATATATCCGCTGTAAAGTGAACCCCCTCGCATATTTATATTTAATTTTAACTGCTTAATTTTGTTTTACTTCCGAAAATCACCCCTGCTGTATACAACTATTTCAGCTGATTTGAACGAAAACTTTTTATAATTCAGTTTATGACTTTGAGTGGATTTTTATGGGTTTTGATGTGAGATTGAGATTGGCATTGATATGAAATGTTGTTCATGCACTGAATCGGGAAAGTTTTGATGGCGTTGAATTGTTGGGACTGATAAGTTAAACATTAATAAGGATTTTAAAAGATTTTTGATGGGAATTATTTCATAACACTTACGTGTATATTATTTTGAGGATTTACATTTTGGTTTATACTCAGAATGAACAATTTAAAAATAATTCGAGACAGAAGCTGTTATTTAAAAAAAATTGGTTTTTAAGAATTTTTATTGAGCTACTTTACTTACTTTATTTTATAAGCTCACAAGCTCGGTTGAAAGCGGAACTCGTTTTAATCTGCAAACTTCCAAAATAATTCGGAGATGCAAGCTTATACGCAAAAGCATTATTTTCTTACTATAGAACCCAATTATTATTTTATGTTTTAATGGAAAGCATTTCCACTTTCATAATTGGCAGTTCAACTACGTGTCGGCAATGGTAGTGTGCCCTCTACAATTTGCGCACTTTCATTAAATTTACCTTTTGCCATTATACATATATATTTTTTCCATTTTTTGTTTGTATTGGCTTTTGTTTTTCCCAGCCATGCCACGCCCCCATTGTCTGGCCGCATTAGCACTTGGTCCAGTGAACCAACAACACCAGCCAGCAGCAACAATAAAGCATTTCTCTTCCTGTACGGAAACTTAATGAAAATAAATCTGAAAAAATATAAACAAAGGAAAGGCGTTGAGGAAGTGAAGGGCGGCTGGGGTGGCTGTTCACAGGTGTATGGCTTAAAGTTGGAGCTCAGCTGGGGGGTTTCTTGATGATGCATTCAACAGCTTGGAAGTAATAGACCCTAACAAACAAACCAAACAAAAAAACTTCCCCGCCCAAAAGAAGGGCGCTGGCCTAAGAAAATGAAGTAGTAAATGGGAACAGGGAACAGAGAACATTTTACAGAAAGGACGTCTAGAAATTTAAGAAGGACTTAGAACATAGCCAGCGAATTTCTTTACAGCTCGAGCACAATTAGAAACTACTTGGAGCATATGATCTGCGACGTTTCACAAGGAAGAAATAGGAAGCAATTGTTTTGTACACATGTTTTACACTTAATTGTACCAATCTGGAGTTTATATACAGAGCTTAAAGGATAAATTTACTTTTTATAGAATACTTTGCCTTACTTATATGTTTAATGACTATAGTAGTTATTGCTTAACTAATGGTTTATATAAATAAAATATAGAATAAAGAATTAATTCAGTTTAAGGGAGCATTTTTTTTAACTTCACTGTTGTTCCTACAAATTTTATGAAAAGGAACTCTACTCTCTCTTCTGGCTGTATTTATTTTAAGAACAATCTTTGAGAGTTAGGGATTCTGGCATCTGACCTACTTAATATGCCTCAAAGAAGCCACACATTTTAAATCAATTACGAAAATGCTACGCCCAATCTTTCAATCAATCAATGTGAATTGGTTGGCGTGCTTGTTTTTTCCTCGTTCACTTAATATTGAATGCCATCAATAACAATAATTTTCATAAATATGATAAGACATAAATCACAAAGTAGCAGGCGCCACAAAGTGCCCGGCCAAGGGTCTGGATTTGAGTCCTGCCGGCAGGACCCTCTCTCTTGGGGTCACCCACCGCCCATCGTCTGCAATGTCACTTGGTCATGCGAGGCACGCGCTCTTTGAAGAACGACAACAACAGAAAATAGGAGCAAAAACAAAAAAAGGAAGCGAACTCCAAAAAGCAGAAGTTCATACACTCTTAGTTAGTGGAAAAATAATGATATGTTGGCACAACATACTACATCTATGGGGTTTGCTCGATGGAATTCGATTCCTAGAGCACCTTTAGGATATAATTGTTTGATATTTACCAATTTTATATTATCATCTCAAACGCGAAACAAATCGAGATACTCAAAGGTGTAAATTTGGCATTCTTAGGGCAACTGTGAAATTGTTTTTAAATATTATTAATAGCTGCTAAAAAAAGAAAGTATTGTGGTGAATATTTAGCATAGATTTGACAAATAAACCCTTCTGGTAATGCTGATAAAAATATACATTTATTGTGTCTTCTTAAGATAACATTTGCAATACCCTTCGCAAGGGCATAAAAAGAGTAGCTAACCCACTTGGGGGCGGGGGTGGAGGGTTGGGGGGTTGCACGACGCGGAAGGACGCGACAGCGTCACGCAGCGATGTCATGGCGCAATAAAAATAAAAATCTAATTAGTATGCCGTTGACAGTTTAATCGTGATTACGCTGGCAAAAATGTCAGCTAAGCGGGGCAGAGGCGGGTTGTGGGCGGCAGTGGGTGGTGGGTGGCAATTGGGCTGGTGGAAAGCGTCAACATCAACATGCCAACAGTTGATTCCTGGCTTTGTTGTTCTTGGACGTTGAGCTTGGCATTTCCGGCAGACGCCACATGCATCGCGTGCGTGTCACAACAACCCGAGTGTGTGTTGGCGGACGTGTGTACGTATGTGGGTGTCAAAAGTTTAGCACTGAAAATCGCCACCCGCGTGGGTGGCAGCAAAACGCTAAACAAAAATATCAGAAATTATAAGCCATTGAAGGCGAAACGGGGCACAAAGCGAACGAGAATGCGAGATGCGACGCAGAAATTGCTGGGCACATTTAAAATAATCTATATAGAGATTTAGAGGTGTAAAAATATTTTCTAAGCTATTTATAAGGTTTTATTTAGAACATCTTCTAAGATTATTTTTTAGACTGATGAAATAATTACCCTTTTTTAAGGAAGTGATCTTTTAAAACTAATACATTTTATTCACCTTTTAGTAATCTTAAAAAAATTGTTAAAAATACAAAACTTTATGCTTATATATATTATTATTATTAAAATCTATTCTGTGAATTTTACATATGTTAAAGCTCATAAGATAATATCTTTAATAAAATGGATATAATATATTGAATAAAAAAATTATACAAAAAGAGATTGTGTAGACCGTTAATTATGTTTTCTACAAATTAAGTTTAGATCTGCAGCTTTATTTTAAAAAATAAATATGGAAAAAATAATTACATAATATTAGATCGAATCCAGAAGTCTCGTACAAGAATTTCCGGACTTAAAAAACTAAAAGGATCAGAAATTTACGCTTTTAAGGAAGTCGACTAATAGTTTAAGTTGTTGCACTCTAATAGAAAATGGAAAAATTATTTTCAGACCCACCTCGTATGCTATTTTTGGGCCTTGCATTTGTTTCAAAATGTGCTCCACGCCCAGACACTCCCACTTCGAAGGCTCGCATCAATGTTGGCCATTGAAATGCGTGTCTAGTGAAGGATCCGCGAGACGTGATTGGAAGTTTTTAGCAGGCCCTGTCGCCGTTTTCCCTTTGTTTCGGCTGATACGAGTGGGTTTGCACCAGACGGATGGGGCGAGAGCACGTTCCTTGGCCAAATGTTGGGAGTTGGGAGCGGTAGTCGAGGAGGGAGTACGAATTAAAAGCTAACCAAAGTGTAGATCTGGCCCAGACCGGAACCGGAAGTTGCTGTGATGAATTGCTGTGCATCAGCAGCCGCTTCCGTGCCCTTAAATTCGGCTCCCTCAATTTGCCGGAACGACTTTCAAGTTCAGCTGACAACGCTGCTCGAATCTTTCAGTTTTTAATATAAAATGCCGGGGATTTATGAGCGCCTCTTTTACAACTTTATTATGCCCCAATCTCACAATGAATGAATGAAGCGGAGTGGAGGGCACGTCGGGAAGCCAAGGGAATATGAAACGAAATTAAAGCTGCCGGAAATGCAGACAAAGCGACAACTCATTGCAGCAGCTATTTTTCCCGGAGTGTCAGACAGAGATGAAGATGACTGGAAAAAAATCCGGATAAAAGCCGGAAAACTGAAATGAAATCCGAATCGTATTGCATTTGGAGGGGAAACGTTAAGAGTGACAAACAAACCAGTTGTATGTAAAGTCACGATGTTGCCTGGCACAAATATTAATTTTCAATCCTGTAAAAATGTTATTAAAATGCTGGTTTTTTAATGAATAAATGTGCAGAAGAAACTGCATTATGTCGAAATTGAGGCAACGAACAATAGAAGTCACTCTGTCAAAGAAAATTTAATATTTTTAGTTGGCAGTAGACAAAGCTCCTGACAAATATCATTCAATGTAGTTTTAAGTGCAGAACTATTTTTTTCTGAACAAAAACTCTTGTAAACAAAGGACTTTTGTTTGAATTCCGTTTTATGGCTTATTTCAAACATGGTAAAGCGATTGTTATTCAATGAAAACCGTGGGATTAATCAAAAGGATTAGAATTCATCAATTGGAGCGGTTGTAAAATATGATATTAATGTATATTTAAGCTTCAAACCCATTGATATTAGTAATTCTTATAAAAAAAATCTGAATTTTTTTTGGGGTACATCGACAAAAAACTACCCTTTTTTAAGCTACTGATTCAGTTACATTTGTGCTCTGCTGATTGGTGCTTAATTCGATTTGTCACGCCGTTCGGAAAAAACAAAAGCACACGTCCGGAGTTGAAAACGTTTTCACAAATGGTAGCCGCAAACATAATTGAACCGCAAATGATGTGGGTAGAGCAAATTGTTCGTCCAGTTTTGGAAACAACTTTCCCCATGGCCATAATTTTTGATTAATAATTCAGGCAATCCGTGTGTGCTGGGATATTTAAATTAAAGCTCCAATATGGTCAAATAGTAAAAGGAGAAGCCTTAAATAGGTGATGAGGGCGTGACAATATTTGATTTGCGCTTTAAACAAACTCACCTGGCAGGCTGGCTATGTAAACAGCGGTAATGATGAAGAGTCTTCGGAGTTTGAGCGCTGGCTTTTGCATTTTGTTTTCCCTTTTGCCCGCAAATATTATTGTTTATTTATGAATCAAATAATGTTTAATGTCGCGCTGTCCTTCGCAAACGGTTCACGTTCATATATGGGCAATATCCGCTATCCAGACCGCAGAAATCAATTTTTACATTCGCTAACTGGTTTTGTCATCCTTTTGTTTTGCTCTGCTTTGCGCTCAGTATGTGCAATTTCCTTTTTTTTTCGTCGCTTGATTGGTTTTACTTTTTGCTCTATTTTGCGGTTGCATTTAATGCATTTTTCATTCCGTGCTCCTGCTTTCTTCGGTTTACCAGTCAGCCACAATTAGCAATCTGCACAGTGAGTCGCATTTGTATTCGGACCTGTGTGCCCTGAACTACCTGAATGGGAAACTGTGTAAATACGTTCGGGTTAGCTGCATTTCTCATTGAACTCGATTTGGCTATTTGCATTTTTCATATCCCTTCTGCCTTTTTTGCATATTCATTTCCTGTTTTTCACAATTTTTCCACTTTGCTGCTATGTATTTTATATGACTTCGATTCCCTCCCAGCTTTTCCTGCATGGGGGCCTCCACAATGTGGCTGGTTGATGATTGAACGGCAGTCGACTTCCGAATCAACCTGAAAAATGAATGAGCAGAGAGGGAAAAAGGATTAGACTCAGTTGTAAGCTTAGGAATTTTTGAATTTGTTATTGCTAGAGAATGCCATACTGTTGCAATTTAACTAAATTCCATTTTAACATTTACCTCACTTTATACAAACAGTATTGAATAAAATAAAGCCTTAAATTGGTTTTTATTTCTATAAATGTAATGCACAGTCTTTGTTTTTTACTTACATATATTTTAAGAAGGGTAAGATTCTCTAAACATCTGAAGTTCAGTGAAAGACACCATCATCGCATTAATTTAATCAAATGTTATTGCCTTTCGTGACACTTTTCCCCCTTGACAACTCCAATCATCATCAAATTCAATATCCCCGCCAGGATTTACTGCCTTCGAGTCGGAGAATCCTTCGGGTCTAAATCATTGACGGACGCTTTAAGCTGCATCGGATTTTGGAGTTTGGGAAAACAAAACATACGCACAGTGCATTTTCCAACTGATTTGAAAATCCAAAGTTGCCCATTAGCAAACCAAATACGCGCTGTTGCCACCGCAAAAAGGGGGCGTGGCCGGGGCAAGGGGAAGGGGCAAAACTGAGACTTTGGCGCCACACGAAAGCCGACTGACTTTACATGGGAAATTGGCAAAAGCCAAGCCATGAAATTGTACAACACGATTTTCACATTTCGTACATGACACCATTTCGACTGCCAGTGGGACAGTGGCGCACATGTGTGTAAGGCGCCCGGATGGTTGCCGGTTGCCTACTTGACATGCCTGTGTGCATAGGGAAAATTCACTTATGGAAATCGAAGATTTTCGCTGTGCCCTCCATTCTTTTTCGAGGGAACGACAACGAGAACGTAACGAAAACTAAACTGATATGAAGTATCAGCATTCAGTATTCAATGTAAATCCTTTAAGCTGCAAATGCGCCCGAAAGGAGACACTCCGCCACATTTCCCTGGCTGACTGACAGCTTGACTGCGGCTCTGAGTGGTGTTCCTGTCCCATATTTGGTGGGTTCTGCGGCGGAAAAGCGAAATGCGACCTGGATCTGGTGAAATCGGGGAGAGGGGGTGGTGACCCCATACCCGGTCATGTCAAGATATGTGTGCCAAGTGGCGGAGCGAAGGGAGAACTTAATACTCATCATTGAGAATAGAAGCGATATTGTGCACAAATACCAGAGTCGAATAAGCCCAACATTTCTGGCTGAATCAGTGTTTTTTTGGCAAACTGTTTCTCACTTGTTTTTCGGTGTATCTCGGTACCAAATTGAGTGCAATAATGTCATGTAGTCAGAATAAACAGATGGTAAATTATATAGCAAATAAGAAGAAGTAAGGAAAAATGACCTATTAAAATTTAAATAATCATTAAAGAATTTCTAATTATATCAATGCTTATTTCAATTTCACCCGCAGAATATTTTGAATATATTGTCAAACACTTTGTAAGGCCCCACAAATACTATAGGAACTCCACATTATTCACAACACTACATCGCACTAAATATAAAAAAAAAAACAGAAATAATAAAGGCTAATTATGTTCGTAAATTGTCCTTCAAACATTGGAGGGTCCGTCCTGACAGACCTTCTAAACGAACAGCTCTACGACGAGTCGGATTATTCTAGCGAAGATGGGGAAGAGTCGAAGTACTCCTCCGATTCCTGCTACGGGCCAAACTGCCACCTGCAGCTGGTCCTGTTGGACTACAAACAGTTCAAGGCTGCCAGGACCATTCAGCGCCACGTGAGGGGATTTCTTTGCCGAAGGCAACTCGACTACAGGAATCAGGCGGCCACCACGATTAGCAGATGGTGGCGAGGATACTATGTCCGTCGGTTCTACTTCTTTCACATTCAGCAGTTGCTGCAGAGCCGGATCATGCAGTTCTACCACGACATGGCCACCAAGATTCAAGCCCTCTTCCGCGGCTGGTTGACGCGCCAGTACTTCCAGGACTTCGAGGGCATGAAGTCGCTGCGCATGCAGTACGCCGAGGACATGTTGAGTACGCTTTTCAGGAAGCTCAGCCAGATGCGAAGGGACCACTTGCTGCCGGGGATCTACGCGCTGCGAGAGTCTGAGTAAGCACATTCTACCCCGCTCCTAAATTTAATCCAAAGCCTATCATTTATTGATGATTTATGATCTTAAATATTTTGTGGGAAAAGTACAATTTTATTTATTTCTTAAATATAATATTTAAATTTTCAGTGACTTTTTAATACATTTTATAGCCAGTCTTTCTGATTTTTAAACTTTTAAATGCCTTAAGTCTGATAATTCTTAGTGACACTCTCAGAAATCTAATTATTTAATAAGGAAAAACTATTTAAGCTGATAATTATCAGTTTAAATGCTTATTTTTTTTTTTAATTTGAAGGGTGTAACCCTTTTAAAAACAAAGCTTTGCTTAATTTGTCGTAAAAAACTTGAAATCAGTCTAATTAGTTTTTATTAAGGCCATAAGTCGTTCAAATATTAACCATTCTGATTGTCATTAGGCAATTTTAAATAATTTAAAATAACAAAATAAAAGTGTACTTCTTTTACAATTTAAATTTCGCCATCAGCTTGCTCTTAAAGATCGAGGACCTGTCTGCTACCTTTGGCTACCGATTCCACAACGGTCGAGTCCGAGCGGCCATTGCCATGAAGCGGGCCTTTTTAAACGATCGGCGAATAGAGTTCCGAGGGGCCGCCAATTATTCCATGGCGCCGTATCCTGGACCCGGATCAGAAAACCTTCCCAGCTTTGACTTCACCCTGCCCAAGAAGATCGGCCCGCGACTGCAGCGAACGGTCCTAGTATACGACAAGTCCTTGAGGGATAAACACATCAAGAAAGTGTACGCTAATTATTCAAAAAGTAAGTAGCACATACATTTTCGAGTGCAACTTTTTTTATAAATCCCCCTTAATCACAGGACGTCGTATTAGCATGAATGTCCTGCGTGAAAATATGCGCAGTCTTTTTTGCAAGGATTTTATTAAGCGAATTATGGCGAATAAGAAAATGGACCGGAAACGATTTGACCTCAAAATGATTCAGTTGTTCCTTGACGATCTTCTAAAGGCCTCCGAAGATTATAATTGTTTTTGCAAGCCCATGATGGGAATGGATAGTTTGTGTGAATAGGTTTTCTCAGCACTGTAAGTCCATGAAAGTCGATGGTGAAACAGTGCTGAGAAAACCTATTTCTATATTCGATTCCTTAAACATTTCGTGAATTACAAAATTTAGATTTGTCCAAGCGAAACTCAGTTTTTAAAAAACATTTGTGTTGCTTTAGTGCAATAAAAAAATATTACAAAAAATTATGTTATTTAAGTATTATTTGCATTTGATATCCTTTTCGATCAATTATAATTAACCTTTTTTAGAAGACCTAATATAAGAGTAGGAAGTCTATTTGCTTTGCAACATTTTGTTTCAAATTAAATATTTCATTTTGTTGGTTTTTTTATTGGTATTTTTTTCTAAATGTAAAATTACTTAAGATCCTTGAAATAAGCGAAGTTAGGGCAATAATTTGTAGCTGATTTACATACTTATGTAGAAGCCACAGATAAAAACGGTCCTGGCATCCATTCAGATATATTATACACATCCGCCGCACCTTCCTCTTGACCATTCAAAGTGCCCCCGGGAAACTGACAGAAGATTTCCATTCCTTACTGTCATCAGTCACAAAATTTTCAGAAATTCCTCGACATAAAACAGATTTGGTCCCTCAACTGAAGACGAATAAAGCAGAGCGCTTAAACTTTTTTAATGTCAAGGCAACAAAAATTGAGGAGAAAAACGAATTCCGTTTTCTTTTGTGTGGCTGACTGTGCGTTTTTAGCAGCTCGCAATTTATTTGCAAACATTTATTATAGTTACTTTTGTTTTATTCGCTTTGAGTACTTTTGCGTGTTGAGCGATGGAGACGGGAAGGTAGGGGTCACTTTTTATGCTGCATTGTTTTATGGTCGCGTCGTGGTTGGCAATGAAATGCCCCACCATCACGAAGCTGAAAGAGCCGCCCAAGGTTGTCAGATGGAGGGCAATCGCAGGGGACTCGAAGCTAGGAAACAAATTAGTTTAAAGATAACTGGGTTACACAATTTCGAGTAGCATACTTTGTGGCATTAAGTGGCTGTCTTGATTAGTCGGTGCAGATGCCTGGATGACTGGAGGAGAGGGCAAATACAATCAAGCATCGGTTGCAGACTGCACGTGGAAATGTTTAGCAGCTGTCGATGGTGGGGAGAGTGAGTTTAGGGCAAATACTCGTGGCATAAAGCAAACATCAGGGGAGTCGGGGCGGCAGGACTCTGCCCAAGGACCTTGAGGCAGTGCCGTAATGCGCCTTTGGCCAAGTGCACTGTAAATACCAAAGCAATTTTCACTGCAAAATTAACAAGCGCCAAACCGCAACACAAGCCCGAGGTGCTGAAGTGGATTGGCTTGGCTCGAACGGAGCTATCTAAGATTCCTGCCATACATACATTTACCACTAAGTCGAGGCGCCAGTACATAATGAATTTTCCCAACTGCTCCTCGCCGTCTGTTTATTTGGCTTTTCACCCATTTTTCCAGGCTCTGACTGCCTCCTCTCATCGGACACACGAATGCAATTAAGCTGCCCAGATGGGGGAAAAAAACGAAGGTTTACGGGAATTCTTTTCTCTTCTCGATTGTATCATCAATTCACGGAGAAAAAAAGCAACCCTCCTTAAAGCTCTTACATTTTGGAGCCATCTAAAAGGTATTTCAAGTGTTTACAAAAAAATAAAATCATTTTCAAGAAGAAACTTTGATCGAACGTCAACTTTGTTTAAAAAAGACTTGACACTATGGAAATTCTTGAGCTATTCAAAAAGTCATTAAAAAATTGCTAAAAAACAAAAAAATAAAACCGATTTTAGAAGACTGTTTTGTTTCATCTTTTATAATAATAAAGCTTGTAATAAAAATATAGCTCGGGTAAATCTTAATAAATTGTTTTGTTTTGGATTACCCTCTATAAAACTAACTTATTTTTCAGGGCCGTAAAGTTAACATTGCAACATTGTCAACTGTCAAAATATTTATAGTCAATCAAAATAACTTCTTTTGATATCAATTTAAATTTACCTAAAATTTATTCTTTGTTCATTCTTTTGTAAACTTCAAAAGACATTTGTGTTTATATTTATGAACAACGTAGATATAAGTGAAATTACCCCCTTTCATTAAAATGGACAACGTAATATTTACGAGCCAATTATAAGCTTATGTTAGTAAGCCGCTTAGAAAATCATCAAACAATATAAGTTTATATGATTATTAGTCGCATGCCCTAATGATTTTCTGTAATCATCCTATTACATGGCTTTTAGACGATTCACTTGGCTCTCTTAAGAACTTTAAATTTACATTTATTTAAGCCCATTATGCGAAGCACAAAAGGATTCCAATTAGAGGTCATTCCGAAAGAACTCGCACCACTTCCTTAACCCCAATCTTAATTATGCAAAAAACGAGGCCATGTGCGAAAATGACCAAGATGGAGATGAACCCACAGGCGTCCCGATTGGACAATAAACTAACACCAAACTGCTGAGCGCCACCAAATGCTTGGGTCATCAAAATGTGTCAGGCCGGTCCATGCAAATTTCAAACTTAATCATGGCAAATTATATTACGAGAGAGCGTAGACTAACCCTTTGACCCTTGGAAAATGTCCGTTTATCAAATGACCCAACCCACAACAGCTGTTGGCCGTTGAATAGTTTCTCCATCCCCCCCCTGATTTCCTTCGCTCGGGTTCCTTCGCTCATGGCTGTCAAATGAGATTAAAATAAGCTCTTCCGTCAATCGACATCATCGACTTGAACTGCTGCTACACTCTCCACATGACAATGGCAGGGTATCCAAGTTCCCATTCCGAAAGGACCCTACCCCCCAACCCACCCATCGCACAATATATAATGGGCCAGGCGAATTTATAGCAATTGTGCACTAAAAGGGTTTTATCCACGCACAACAGCATGACCAATAAAGCAACTAAGCGCATTTGTGCACCACTTCACAGGACGCGGATCGTGCCTCATATATACTATATATAGTATCGGTTTTGGGGGCGGGGCAATCGGCCCTGAGCTCTGAGTGCCAGTTTATTGCCAAATTGAGTCCTCGGCGACAAAGCGTCGAGTGTAGGGAGCGTTGTCAACAACAGCTGCACAATTGAGATAAACTTCAATTTTCGTAAATTGTTTAGTTTATTGAAAAATCTGCGACATGTGAAGACTGCCACTGTGTCAGTGTGTATGTGTGAGTGTTCTGTGTGCTTGTGGCACATTAAGCGCTCTGAATTTTAATTCAATTTAACTTTAGTTTCAGTTTTGCAGCTTGCGGATAGTGGAGACAGCAATTTATTGGCACATTTTATTTTACGAATTTATTGGATTTGATGGGGCCAAACTGAAATGAACTGGACTCTGCTCGAGTCGATGGCAACTGGCAGCTGTGAAAAAACTCAACAGCAACTGTCCATTGAAATGGGGAACTTTGCTAATATCAGGCCAAAAGCGCTTTCACGCGGAAGAGCTGAATAACTTTGAGTTTAAATAGCGTAGTAAGTGTTACCGTACTCAATAATACCTATCTACCAACTTTAATATTATCATGAATAATTATAATTTTGTACATGACATTAAGGTTTAAAACTGACTAATTCTATATGTTTTTTTTGTATTCATGCTACTTTTTTAAGGATACGTTTAGCATGCCATAAATACTTAGAAACGGGTTGTGCGATAACACAAAATTACCAACAAAATATGTGGTTGTGAAAACCCTGAAAAGTACAAATTGGTGAAAACCAGAGAGCTGTGGAACTTGAAAAGATTTAATAACTGACATGCAAAAATTATTTATTATTATTATTTATTTGTCATCAAATTGTATATTAGAAATATAATGACTGAAAACGGGATAATATTTACCATATTTATATATTGGCTATTTAATTTTAATTCTTTATTCAGTGCCTTTATTAAATACTCTTTATTTTACAGTGCTTAAATTCGTTTGGGAACGTCGTGAGTACATTTGCTTGAAGGTGCACTTCCCATTTTTCCTATCAAACCCAGCTCCCTTTGCACACAGGACAACAAAGCGAAGATCGAAGTTTCTCCCCCTTAAGCTACCAAATATACATTTCTCTTATCGAAGGACCCAAAGGTCTACCTAAGCCGCACACATTCGACTGGCGAGGCGCAGACACAATATCCAAACGCCCCATCCAATCCCTTCGCCATATTCTCGCATTCTCGAACTCGCTTTTCCCCGTGGAAAGCGATGCCTGTGTGTGCTGAAATTATGCGCATGTCGTTGGCATTTTCCTTCTCTGCTCGGCACGATTTTCAATTCAAATGTTTTTCTTTTCGGGGATTCGATTTCGGCGGCAGAAGGTGAAAGATGCGGTTACACGGGCTGGGGGCTGGCGAAAAGTTTTCGCATAAAATAAGGCAAGATAAATTGTTAATGCGTCTGTGGGGAAGCGATTAGCGGCAAATGTGCCGAGTTCGTTTCGAATTCCACTTTTGCGAGCAGTGCAATTTAAATATTATTTTCCAGCTCCTTAAAGGCAAGCAGAAAGTACTTTCAGTTCAACCAGAAACATTTTACAAATCAACTTCAACATATAGGGCTGATGTCTGGCTGGCACAAAATAAGAAATGTACAGGAAAAATCAAGCAACAAAAGGTGAAGCCAGGCTCTCGTTGGCATTGGCAATTTATTTTACCTGATTTTGTCCTCGACCAAGGCAATTCCTTCCAGCCAGGATGCGAAGGCACTTGAGAACGCATTCAGGTGGGCAATTGGTAAATGCAACAGCCACTGCAGCTCATGATAAATCGTTATTTATAATTTGTATTGTAAAACGAAGAAATTTGTATTTCCTTCTGTTGGGCAGACTAAAGTGGGGTGTTTGGATACGTAGGAAAAATGGTAAAGTGAATTGCAATGGTTTGAAAATAATTTATTTTCGTGCAAGCCGGAATTACGTTTAGAGTATATAAAGAATTTGGTTTCCCTCAATAATAAATACCCCTTACTAGTTCATTTAAATTTTTTAATAAGTTTAGTAGTCTACGAAACAATTTATCTTAGTTCAAAGTTTAATATATCCGAACCTTTAAAAAACATATTTTCCTTAATTTTTTGTGTGGTTATTAATAAAATAAATTTAAAATTTAAAAAAGTTTCTTGTGGTTTTAATCGTTATTGGGTTAGTTTTCATAAAACGCGCACATTAGCAAACGCAAAGAACATATA